ATGGTGGGCTCTGCAGGAGTCTCAGGTGGGCTGGACAGGGCTGCATCTCCCTCCTTCCCAGCTCCTCTTACCTGCTCACCTGGCCTCTGCCACTGGACTGGCCGTAAGTGATGTGATGTCACTTCCGGCGCTCAGAGATCAGATGAAAAGCTGCGCCGATGGGGCCTCAGCCTGCTCCGATGCCTGCATAGGTAATGTTGGTGCCCGGCGCTGCTACGGCCGGCCTCTTTCTGCGCTGCGGGGCCCGGCCACCTCCTCGCTTGCAGGACCGGTACAAGGATTTTTGCCTACACAGGTGAAGATGCATTTTTGCGACCCCCCCGGTGCCCTCAGACAGCTGGCTATGCAGCCTTACACTAGCGCCGGCCCTGACCACATTGCTCCGTCTACCGCAAAACCTGGAGGAACACTAGGAGCAGATTGCACTTTAAAGGCTAAGTGAACTTTTCTGGCCATGTTTTATGTTACACCCATATTTAAGGTGTAACATGAAACATGGTCAAAACGCAACCCCCCACTTACCTGAATCTTGGGGTTACTTCTCCCAGCAGGCTGCTGTTTTTTTAATGTTGGGCGGAGTCATGCACAGCCACAACATCAATCTACAGGAAGGAGGAACTACAAGCCCCGTCTGCTATTGTGGCAGAGGGGCTAGTAGTTTCAGAGGAATACAGGTGTGATGACATCACCGCACTTGTAGTCCTTTAACTCTGGCTTCCATCCACAATACTAGATGTCTGTATCTTGGTACAGGCATGGACGGTAACAGGGATGCACCAATACAATTTTTTCCAGGTCTAGTACGAGCACCAATACTTTTCTTCAAGTACTCACCGATACCAATTACCGATACCTTTTTTTTTTTTGTGTCATGTGACAGTTTTTCTAAGAGAATACAGACAAATGATTTTAGGACTGTGGTGGAGCGCCAGGGCTCATTCCCAGCTGCAACCGCAACCGTTGCTACCCTGGTAGTTCTACCACTGACTCCAAATCTCAGCAATACATGATACAGCAATGCAGAACAACGCCATCAGCTATAGAGGACTACAAATCCTGACAATATATTGTACAACAATGCTGAATGGCAACCGGGTATAGAAGACTACAAATCTCAGCAATACATTATACAGCAGTCCTGAATTATAGTATTATTCTGCATTTCTCTATAATGTATTGCTGAGATTTGTAGTCCTCTATAGCTGAAGCTATTATTATTATACCCTCAGCTGTAGAGGATTACAAATCACAGCAATAAATCATACAGCAATGCAGAATAATATGAAACTACATACTCTGTGCAGCTTCGGGGTGACAGTCTGATGTCTACAGTAGAGGGTCTGTGCAGAGGGCTGCACAGTGTCTCAGAAGGGATGTGCAGGGTCTCAGGAGAACTGTGGGGTATCCAGAGAGCTTTGTGGAGCCTCAGGAGGGTTGTGCAGGGTCTCAGGAGGACTGTGCAGGGTCTCAGGAGGACTGTGCAGGGTCTCAGGAGGACTGTGCAGGGTCTCAGGAGGGCTGTGCGAGTTCTCAGGAGGGATGTGCAAGATCTCAGAAGGGATGTGCAGGGTCTCAGTAGAACTATGGGGTGTCAAGAGAGCTTTGTGGAGCCTCAGGAGGGTTGTGCAGGATGTCAGGGGGTCTATGGGTGGTCTCAGGAGAGCCGTGCGGGGTGTCAGGAGGGCTGTGCGCGGTGTCAGGAGGGATGTGCAGAGGGCTGTGCGGGGTGACAGGAGGGCTGTGCGGGGTGTCAGGAGGGCTGTGCGGAGGGCTGTGCGGGGTGTCAGGAGGGCTATGCATACTCTGTGCTGCTCTGGGGAAGGCGGCCTGATGTCTCCAGTGGAGGATCTCAGGAGGGTTGTGTGGGGGTCTCATGGGGGCTGTGCGGGGTGTCAGGAGGGCTGTGCGAGGTGTCAGGAGGGCTGTGTGGAGGGCTGTGCGGGGTGACAGGAGGGCTGTGCAGAGGGCTGTGCGGGGTGTCAGGAGGGCTGTGCGGGGTGTCAGGAGGGCTGTGCGGGGTGACAGGAGGGCAGTGCATTGGTGTTGTGCAATTAGAAAAAAGTGCATGCAATTGCACCTCACTGGAACTCAGTTACATTGTGGTAGCATGCATTACACTGCATGGGGAGGGTCCAATTAAGTGGTGAAGTGCGTTCACATCATGGGACTGCGAGATGAAGGTAGGTGGATGGTGTGAACGTTAAAAATGTATTTTCTGTGAACGTGGTTTAGTGGGTATGGAATGCGCTGTGGCATCATGATGGGTAAATGGTCCTATTGTGCTTGGTTTTTTTAAGGGGGTGGATGTTGCAGACGGAGTAATAAAATTACAAATTAAGCATTTTTTATTCCTAAATAAAATGTTGTAGTATAGTTGTGTAAAATGAAATGTCTGTGGACAGGATTATGCGCCATAAATGCTGCATTTCTGAGTGCTGTTAGATATGGAAATAGTGGTTGATGGTGTAGAAATCTTTTCTAGTAATGTTATGTGTGTTTCATGTATAGTACAGAGCAGCAGGGCAGCCATCAGAAATTTTGGGGCCCCTTACACGGCTTTAGGCCGGGCCCCCCCCCCGCGCCGCTGGACGCAGGGCTTAGTGACGCGCTGGACGCAGGGCTTAGTGATGCGCTGGACACAGGACCCACCTGAGAGTGACGCTGCAGAGCCCACCATAGATGCTGCACAGCCCATCTGAGACTGTCTATGGTGGGCTCTGAAGGGGTCTCAGGTGGGCTGGTCAGGGCTGCATCCCTCCCCTCCTTTCCTTCCTTCCTTCCTAGCTCCTCTTACCTGCACACATGGCCTCATCTGCCGCCGGACCGGCCAGAAGTGACGTCACGTCACTAACGTGACATCACTTCCGGCCAGTCTGACATCAGACGAGCAGCGTCGCTGATGGGGCCCTAGCTTGTCTCAAAGCCGCTGGAGCGGCAATGCTGGGGCCCTGCGCTGCTAGGGCCAGGCCTCCGCCTCCTCGCCCTTCACCGTCGGCCGATAGTCATGTAAGGGACCCGGGTGGGCCCCCCAGGCTGCCGGGGCCCCTTACATGAGTATCGGCCGTACCCCCCTGATGGCTGCCCTGCGTAGCAGTGTCTGATTGAGGCACTGTGTTGAATGGGATGACCCTCCTCCCCTCCCCCCACCTTTTCTCCTGTATATTGGCACTGTGGTGTGCTGAGACACACACTACAACAAGGCAGAGAGCGATCAGGGAAAAACGATCCTCTATACAGAACACAGCAGCCAGGAGGACATACTATGAGGCGGTCTGGAGACGGGACATTGCAGACAGGAACACAGTGCGACCTCAGCAGCTCAAAAGTCAGCACGCAAGGAGGAAAGGGCGGGAGAGGGGCGGCCCTGACATCACACTGGACGGAGCTCTATCACTCTGATCTATCTCAGGCCGTTTGTCTGCAGCCTGCTGGGTCTGTGTTCCGATTTTTAAGCCCTCCGGCAGCTGCTTGTACACTAGCGCCGGCACTGCTCGCTTGTCACTGGTGGCCGATACTCTTGTAAGGGTCTCGGGCGGGCCCCTAAGGCTGGTCGGGCCCCTTACATGCGTATCGGCGGTACCCCCCTGACGGCGGCCCTGCACCTAGGGACCCCCAAAGAAGCTGATGAAGCAGCACTCTGCTTCATCAGCTTCTTTCCAGCGTCTGAAGCTGGAGAGTAAAACAAAACAAACGACAAACGCACTCAACAATTTGTTACCAGTTATACAGTAAGGTGCACACGAAATGGGCTTTGAACAGTAAAACAGCAGAAAGGCATCATGAAGCTGGAGAGTGACACAAGAATGCGAAAGTGATGTAATATACATCACTTCCACATTTCGACAGCGGAGAGGGGACCGGAGGGAGATGGTGTACCGATCTCCCTCTGATCCCCTGTCACAGAGGCACTATGGTGCCTCGGAGCAGTGTGACAGTGGGAGGGGGGGGGGAAACACGGATCGGCACCCCATACAAGCGATCCGTCGGCTCTATCACTGCCCGTTTTCAAATTTTGGCTGTTTCCCGCTCGTGAGCGAGCGTGGCTCAGCGGACGTTTAAAAACGCGCGCTCAGATCGTGGGAGCTCCTGTCGGCCGGTTAAAGCCCCCC